AACCACAGTAGATTAGTAGTCGTATGATTTTCTTTTACCAAGTTATAACAGTTATCAAAGTATCGACAATTTTTCACTTATTTACGTGTTCGGTTATGCTCATCACTATACATACGTTTAGTCAAAAATTGTACTCGCATCACGTCGTAAGTATGAGTGTTTCATACTTTCCACTCGTGCGTCGTTCACTGATCAAGTGAAGATTCCTTAAATTCCGGAAACGTTGTCAAATCTGGTAAAAGATGGCAATAAAAATAGCGTGGATGTGCTATTGAAAATCAATAGGAATATATCCTTGAGAGTCTGGCAACTGCGTCCAATAGTTCGACCACGCGATGAAGTAATGGGGAATTTCGTCGCAGACACGAAATTTGGAAAATAGGTTTCTTTAATCGACCTATCGGTGCAAGGTCGTAAATGTAGTTATACTTCCTCGACCCTCGATGTTCTGTATTTTTTCTTTTTTTTTCCTTTTTTTTTTTTTTTGTTTTCTTTTCATTTGTTACATTTATATTGATCGCTTATTCTCGAAAAGGCTATTGAAACTGGTCCTTCGCGCGAAACGAAAAACTCGTTCATGGTCGATCGACGATCAAACAAGCTCCTACCTTATCGTTTATTGCCGATGTTCTGCAAAAAGGCTACTCGTTTTCTGCGCCGCAAACTGTTTTACCTGCAAATAAAGAATAACGCGCTGCAAGAAATTTATTTGCGAGAAACCAACGGTACTGTTCAACCATACTTTTTATTTTTTCCTTTTGCATAAATTTTACTCGAATACGTACAAAACGGTTATTGTTTTATTAATTATGCCATTGGTTTGTTATCCGGATTAATTGAAAGAAACTGCAACGATTATACGTAATCTGCATGTGAACGATCTCCATCTTGCATTTTCGCATACGTATCGTTTCTAACGGTCATAGTTTATCGCAACTTCTTTCATCCTATTCTCGTGTCGTTCGTCTACATGATGATTCGTTCATCATGATCTACGATGCAACATTCCACACTTGTCAAGTCATTGTATCGTGTATTTATTCGAATATATCATTTTGAGTGGAAGTTGACACGAAATGTAAGGAACGATTTTGATAGAAGTCGGTGACAACTAAATTATTATTTTTTTTGACGATTTGTAGTCGAGCACTGAAAACTAGAAGAATTCCTGTGCTTGTTAGAATATGTTTAATCATTGTGCAATAAAGAGATCAAATCGAGACAGCAAGTTACCTACCTGTCATATATATATATATATATATATATATATATGTGCACATATATGTGTATAGGAATATGCATATGTACATATACGTCGAGGCAGGTAAATTCGATAAATGAACTACTTTGTTTTATTGTTTGTCATTGAATTGAAATGTTCGCGCAGAACAACACGTCGAGACATCGAATTTGGTTTGGTTTAGGTTAGGTTTGGTTGGCTGTAATAATAACGCATCTTGCCCCGTTGGTCGGAATAACACGCGCAGATCGACGACAATATCTAACGTTTGAATATCTTCGTTTATCCAGTCCCGACTTGTTTGTTTAGCTATCATTGAGATATAAGGACGTGTTAACTACACAATGCATTTTAAAGATTGTGAAAGGCGATTAGCACGACGCCGTTTTGTTTCCGAACGACTTGCGCTTGCTGTTGTTTACGCTGTGTGCGATTCGGTGGGATGCACGAGCGAGAGACATATCAGATGCTAAACGAGATTTAACGAGCATTCGAGTCGTAAGTTTCCAGGTGTCCGAGCTTCGTGAGCTTGAACTGTAGTTCAAGGGATTTCACTCGCGTTGCCTTAGAGACGAGGAAAGATTGTTTTTTCTGCATACTAGTGGTAATGATCATGGAACGGAAGAGGTCGCCTTCTGACTTTAAGGAACTATGAGAAAAACTAGAAGCGTAATGATTTATGACTGAGAGATCCATCTGCATTATCTTGTTTATCTACTTCCCTTTCTTTTTCCCTCATCAAGCATGTCGTTGTTTGGCCCCTTGAAAGATTTTTTTTTTCTTTTTTTTCTTTTTTTTTTTTTTTTTTTTTTTTTTTTTTTTTTTTTTT